GGGAAAGGGAAACAATATTAACTTTATTATTTTATTTTATTTGCTATTTTCACTATGTTTTCATTTATACTGATACAAAAACATGTATCAGAGATGGAGAATGATCATTTGGTAGTCATGGAGACGAGGACATTTTATTTACAAATCTTCCTCCATCCCATCTCAGCCATCTCACTGATGGCTAATCAGGGTTGCCATTGCTGAGCTACCCTACCAGGGTTTGGTTCTTTGCCAGGGTTTGGTTCTGGGTGTCATCAGTCTGTTGTGGCCGGAGGCTGCATGGTGACCAGGCAGTCCCTGTGTGGATGGTCCATGGAGGGGCTGAGGTGCTCTGTAGAGCTGGGCTCTGGGCCCATATTTGGGAAGCTGGGTGAGGAGGCGGTGTGCCGGGGTCCAACCCCAGCAGGTCCAGGGGTCCCCAAAGGTGTGGACGGAGTCAGCGAAGAAGGAATGACACAGAGACAGCGTTCAGTTGATCAGCAGCCTAGCCAGGATCTCCAGCCAAGTTCTGGTTTGGATCTCCAGAGAAGTTCTGCCGTTTATTGTCTTGTTACATCCGTATTTACTGGCACTTAGTTAAGGAGTTTCATCGCCTCCCTGACTTCAGGGAAAAATCCCTACCTGGGGAAACAACCTTTCTCAGAGAGGTGACCTTGATTAAAACACAGCGCCAAGAAGGTGAGCAAACATATTAAGAACAGTATGCCATATATGCCAGGTCCCTTAAAACAGCAAGGATGGACCGGCTCCCGGCAGCGGTGGAGCTGCTGCCCAATGGCCAGAGTCCACGCCTCCCTGTCCATATCCTCCCGTGGGAGATATTGGTGTGTTCACCTATAGGTGAGTGTAGTTTTGGTGGCATTGGGGTGGGGCAGTGCTTGGTGGGGGTGGGGTACTGGGAGTCTCTCTAAGGTGTCGGGGAGAATAGGAATGACTTGGCAGGGAAATGAGAATGCTTTCCTGCAACTGGTCGGACTGGAGAGGACTGAATGTGATCACTTGTGTCCTTAGCTTCCTATAATGAGGCCCCAAATTTGGGTGCCTCCTGGAGCTTGGCCTACATGCTAAAGAGGCAATGTGGAGTGGTGGGGATTGTGGCAAACCAGAAATCACATAACCCATTTATCAGTTTGCATTGCCAGAAGTCACTTAATGTTGCTAGATCTTACGCAAAAAAAAAGTGAAGTCTAGGCTTTTTAAATGTGAAATCATCACAGGTTTTTAAACATTAGCAGCATATTAAATTTCTTTTAAAAAACCATGCAGGCCAAATGAAATGTAACCTTGTCATCATGTCTAGGTAAACCGTGGTTTGTAAAAGGCTAGAGCAAGCTTCTTCCATTAATTGAATTGGAATCCAGTTTTCTTCAATGTACCATCATTTTAAAACACTCCCAATAGGGATATTACTCTTTCCACCAAATATTTCAAAGCAATTTCAAAGCAAAAGTAAAAGCTTCTTGTTTGGCAGTTTTAATTTTGGAAGATACATTATTGCTTTAAAAAAAAGAAGCCCCTATTAATTTGATACTGGCTTAGTTTTTATCTTACTCCTTTCTTTCTGTTCTGGCTTGAATAGCAGTCATCCTTTTCATATTTCTTATTATACGTAAAAGGGACTCGGGAGCAATTGTGGTCCAGAGCTCTGATGAGAGCCTGGACATGAAGGCAAAGGGAGGGGAGGGCGGGCGTGGGCAGTGGACTGTGGGGTCTCTGGAGGCCCTGAGAAAGAGCAAGGTGGAACCTGAGTCCCCGATCAAGCGGCCAGGCTCAGATCCCAATTTGCCACTCACCAGCACTGGGACCTGGGCAAGGTGCTTGGGCTTTTTTAAAAAAAATTAATTTATTTATTGATCTATTGATTTTAGAGAGAGAGAGACATCAATTTACTGTTCCTCTTGTTCATGTATTCACTGGTTGTCTCTTATATGTGTCCCGTGCAGGTGTCCAACCCGTAACCTTGGCATACTGGGGCGATGTTCTAACCTGCTGAGCTACCCTGCCAGGGTTTGGTTCTTTGGCTTTTCATGCCTCACTTTCTTCACTGGAAAATGGAAATGGTGTCACCTGCTCCGAGGGTGGCAGTGAAATTTCTGTGAGATAACTTGAGGCCCAGGGCCCGGCGCATGGAAATCTCAGTCAGTGCCGCTGATTAGTATTTGTTCCTGCACCTCTGGTCGGTGTTCCTGAGTTGGGGGAAGAAGTAGCTTTTGATAATCTCCCAGGTCCAAGGGGTTGGGCATGGCCTGCGAGTACTCTGGAAGAATGCACTCCTGAATTCTGTAAGCATAAGCTTTCTAGTGTGAGAAATTAAAAGTTTCTCTCTCACATCGATGTTTCTCTTTCTCCCTTCCTCTCTCTCTAAAATCAATAAAAACTATTTGGAAAAAAATTAGGGTGTGCCATATTGGGCAATGCAGACAGAACATGTCCAGCGTCGCAGACAGTTTTATTGGACAGACAGCAGGTGGTAGATGGGACCTTAGATGTTGGGATTGGAATCCTAAGTGACTCCGGTAAATTAGAGAAGCATTCTGATTAGTCGTGGGGGCCCGTCTGGCTGGGAAGAGAAGCATCTGGCCAGGAAGAGAAGCGCCTGGCCATGCAAGTCTGGGTGAGGAAGGCCCAGCCAGCTTAGCTGTGAAGTGAGCTTGGGTTTAGTGCATCTGCAAATGACAGTGTGTGGAGAGACCGAGCAGACCATGCGGAAGAAGGCACGGCTCGCCTTCAGGCAGGAAGTGCGAGGCTCAGCCTGGTTAGAGCCTTGTCAGGGTGCCCTGGCCTGCTGCCTGGAGAGAGGACCTGGAGATTTAGGGAGAATAAAAGAATTAGGATTGCTCAGCCAGTCTTCTTAGTCCACATGTACCTGACTATAGGAATTTGATCTAATCATCTGACATCCTGGCCTCATTGAACTGGTTTAAATGTGATGCTCCCTGCAAAGCCCAGAACCACCCACAGGATTTTGTGAGAGCATTGAATCTGATCAGAAGACAGATGCTCACGTCCTGGCTTCCCCACTAGGAAACTGTACTTGACTGCCTGTTCCCTGCTCCCTTGATGTGAATAGGATATTACATTTACTGACTAAGGCAAGTGCCAACAGAGTGTCTGGCATGCAGTTGGCTCTCAGTAGACCTTAGTCATATTGTGTTGCACCGTCCAGATCAGCTCAGGAATGATTCAAGAAGAGAATGCGTTTTCCTAGCCCTCCACTGGTAATTCATTTTGAAATTAAAATTAAACATTTTGTTATGGAAGTTTTCACACAAACTCAGAAGTAGAGAGAATACTATGAATGCTCATGATTCATGGAATAAGAGTTCCCAGCAAGCATGTGGGGAGTTTAGAGTGCAACCCAGGCAGCCTGGCCTGGAGGCCTACACTTCCCGGCTCAGCAGGGTGTATGGGTGAGGTCTGCTGGGGCTGAGACCTGGTGACTGACCGTATCTGAGGACCCAGCAGAGAGTGGACTCTAAACAAGGAGCGCAGGGAATATTCACTGACCTTTAAAAAAATGTATGTGTTCATT